CATGTGTTAATACACAAATTTTAATTCACAGTTATTCTTCTCAGACTTACCCAGAGGATCGCTGCTAATTTACATACATTTCTCTAAAATTCCACCTACCTGCTTTTAAATTTCGAAGGGCCAGAAACTATCTCCAGTCATCTTTAAAACACAATACGCTTCACCTTTTACACAACAGTTCACAGAAATTACCTGGGGTTCTTTTAAAGACTAAACAGTGAGGCTTACTAAAATGCACTTTTTACAGATCTCTCATGAAATACAGAATTTCTATATTTGGTGTTCGCAAGAGCAATGGAAATCTCTACCTTTTTCTGTTAAGATGCTCTGAGTTGGGAGGGAAATGTCCTCATTTCTTTTCATGATGCCACCAATAGTTAAATCACACTTTTGCTATTAAAAGGAACCTGCCCCAAATACACAAATGTCATCTCATTTCTTTTCTTTTTTTTGCTTTCCTTTCAGCTTTTTTCCACACAATAATAATAATGATGCCACACAATAAATTTGGACTCAGAAATCATCTTAGTGAACATCATTAAAATCAAGTCCAAGTGACATTTATTTAAAATAACATAACCGGGCCGGGGATTTAGCTCAGTGGTTTTGCCGCCTGCTGCACAAGCTCAAGGACCCGAGTTCGATCCCCGGTACCAAAATAAAAATAAAATAAAATAACCCTCCCTCTCATGTTTGTAAAACACACTACCATATTTGATAACGATTAGTATTGTAGCCAGAACAGAGAACACTGTATTCCTGCCTATGCTCTGCCACCTTGGAAATAAAGAGAACTGTGACAATTACAGAGCCTGAAAAAATGGTGAGTACAGGAACCGCAAACACTGTTTCACTTGGTAACAACTTGATTACTTGTACTGGGTGTTGTTGTTATTGTCATCATTTGGTTTTTGGTTTTGAGCTAGGGTCTTTCGAAGTCACTAAGTTGTAAAAGCTGGGCCTGAACCTGCAATGCTCCTGTCTCAGTCTCCCAGAGTTCCACCATCCTCGACTTGTACTCTCTCTTGAAAATGGACACAACTCATGTTCTTTCATATTTTCCCAGCTGGAATTCTCTCTAAGGATGGCAGATTCTGGTGAGCTGGTCCCCAGGGGACAGGGGACCAAGGGTCTCTACGGAGTTCCTCCCATCCAAGAATTACCCAGGAGTGATCCATCTTGTCTTCCGCATTTCTTCTCTCTACTATTACTCACCCCTCCCCAGTAAGAAGCTCAGGCCCTGCACTCTGCACCTCCTCCCTCACACCTGGATGAGAAGGCAGATCCTGGTATGGGTCAGGAATGGATATAGCTGCACTTCAAAGGCAACGCCATGAACTTCAGTGCCTACTGAGTAATTTAAACTTTCCAGAGCATTTTGACCTTCTTAGAAGAAAATGGCACTTTAAAAAGTGATCTTCATTATTCCATCACCCGTGTCGCTCCGGCCAGTTTCAGCAGCACTTTTTAGCAAAGACAACCTTTTACATTTAGCTGGCCTCCTGTGAGAGGAAAATATCTTGAGTGTAAAACAGGTGGCTTCGAGTGGTGGCCAAGCTTTGTAGTGGCACAGCCTGTCTTTGTCCCTATAGAGAGACGGATGGTGCTGTCTCCAAAGCACACTGGCATATCACTGAGGCTTCGAGGCCTCACTGTTTACCATTTCAAAAGTTCCAGGCTCTTGACCCAAAGCCAGGGTGGGTGACAGGGTAGGGGAATGGGTGGGAGGCCCTAGTTTCTATACTAAGAAAGGAAGCCCGACACACACCCACCTCCTTGGGTGGAAGCTGTCACAAACACACACACACAGCCACTTTAGGCGAAGACAAGAGTGGTTGTTATGGCCGATGCGAATTGCTCCCCAAGTATGTCCTGAATGTGGGAGGCCACACCAGCTGCCTCCCCATGAGACTGCCCGCAGGGCCCCTGCCAGCGGCCACAATGACTCACTGGCCCTTGCCAGCTGTCACGCTTTGCATGCCGCTGGAGCTCCAGCCCAGCACAAGGGGCCATCCAAGTCGCCAGCTCCAAGAGAGCCAACTCCTGTGCCCGTGCTGGGCTGTATGGCCACTGGGAATGCCCTTTCTGGGGCCCATGACCCCCCAGCACACTTAAACACACACTGACCAGCACATTCAATGGACAGGATCTTTGATGGAGTGAGCAAAGATGAGGGGATGAGGTGAAGCCAGAAGCTGAAAAGAGCTTCCAGGGGAACCCACAATAAGGGACATCTTGGATGGAAGAGTGGCATGCGCATTTCCACCACCTGATTCCTGCCTGTGCATGGGAGATGCGGCAGGTACTAGCAACATGATTCTGATTCAGACCTGTCTGAGGTTCTGTCTTCCTCATTCACTTCCTTTCCCAGGGCAGAGTAAAACCCTGAGACCCTGAGTATCAGGGCACAAGAAGAAGCCAGGGCCTGCCTGAGTCTAGCACCTCAGATACCGACAAGACAGAGGGGCGCTGAGCAAGGATAGGACCTGCCAAGGGGTTGGGGGGGATGTGTGGAGGTGGGATCCTGGGGACCCACTTTTCAGGATCATGGCTGGAACCCAGGAACTTGTCCAGACTGCTCGGGCCTAAACTGGCCTTCCCATCCTCATACCTGTTTCACAACCCATCACGGCTCATCATGGCCTCCTGGGCCTCCTGGGCCTCCCATAAGCTTGGTCCAGCTGGAGGGAGTTCAGGAAGCCAACCACTAATGCGGCAGCTCTGTTCCTCCTGTCTGAAGATACACAGTCATCCACCATGGCCTGGAAGCAAAGCAGGGATCAAAATTGCCCAGCTACAGGGCTTCTGTGCCAATCAAATGCAAAAGTGTCTATAAAAATGATGAAAGCATGCTGCTTTCACAAGAAATGAAATGACAGTAAGATACTGAACTTCACTGCATGAAACTTGCATGGCTGTTTCCTTGGATTTTCTCCTGCCTGCTGGACTCAGCTCCTTCCTGCCGTCCTCTTTTCATCTAAACAAGACTCCCATCACCATGGTAGGCCAGGCCCCTCTAGGAGTCAGGAGGTCCTCCCATGTTATACAGAAATCCTCTCTCTACAAAACCTATAGGAAACTCTTGGATGAGAACATTTGGAAATTTGCACATTTCAAGGATGAGCCTGTGAACTAGAAGCAATTTCAGACCCATTCTTAGATACCTGTTGGACACACAGGAGTTGCAAAGCACTGTGCTGAGCTTTGGAAGTAGGCAGAAACAAATAGGTGGTTGGTGCACTCAAAGCAATCCCAGCTGAATGCAGGGATGAGATCCACGTAAGACAGTCCAGGCTAGGGAGAAATGCTACCAATGGTTTGCCAAGTTTGACAAGAGGAGGAAGATGGGAAATCACCAAGGCTAAGAAGATAATGTTGGAGCTGAACCTGAGGCATGACAGGATCTCACAAGTGGAGCCGGGCTTGGAAGCAGAGGCCAGAGTGAGCCTATGAAGTGAATAGTGGTGAAACAAAATGAGACAAAGAAGCCCTGAAATCAGCAAGCACAGCCAATGGGCACCAAGGGCAGAGATCAATGGCCCCATGGACCAGCCCTTCCTGAGTCTTACACTGAGGAAGCTTATTTTCCTTCTGTTATACTCAAGATCCGGACTGCCCAGTAGAACTTTCTGCCATGATGGAAATGGCCTATATTTGTGGCAACAACTACCAACCTGTGACTACCACACACTTGAAGCAACACCAGTGGAACTGGAGTTCTAAATTTTAACTTAATGTTTAAATCTAATGTGCCTTTAATGGCCACTATGGCTAGTGGCTACCACACTGAACGGTAAAGGTTTAGGAACCAAAAGGCCCTTCTCCAGGACATTCTTTGGTGCTCTGATAATGCTGCAGTAGCCTGCACTGGTTTGGGGGAAGATAACTTCCACAGCTACCAAGTCAGCTAGCTATTTTATTTGAGGAAGAGAAAGACTCTGTCCCACCCTTAACACCCCTGGGTGTTTTGTTTCTGATAAGAGGCCAATTCCTGAGTGAGTTTTGTTTAAGCAACAGTCAAGTGACTGATAAAATGAGCACACATCCCTTTTCTTGGGGAAAAAAAAATCTAACTTTAAGCACTCCCGAGTCCCTGAAGACCTTTAATAAAAGCAACAGGGGGTGGGAATGGTGGGGAGTAACCTCAGGAAAGGTACTGCCAAAATTGACTTCTCTGAACCTGGCAGAAAATCATGTATTAAAAAACAAAAGCATGTTACACCCAAATGTATAGCAGCATATTCACAATAACCAAAATGTGGAAGCTACCAAAGTGTCTATCCAGATGAATGGCTAACACGGGAAAAGGAAACTATTATTCAGGCTTAGAAAGGAAGGAAATTCGGATGCAGGCTCCCACATAGAAGAAAAGTAAGACACTATGCCAAGTGAAATAAGCCAGTCACTGAACGACAAGCACTGTATGACTCTACTGAGATGGGGCACCCAGAGCAGAACAAATTCATGCAGAGAGAACACAGAACGGTGGTTGCCGGGAGTTGGGCCAGGGAGGTGTGGAATTGTTTAATGGCTGCAGAGTTTCTGCTCTGGAAGATGAAGAGTTCTGGAGACTGGCTGCACGACAATCTGAAAGAATGTACAGCAGTCACCACTTCTGAGCTGGTAAATTTTATGTTATGAATATCCGACCGTGATTTTTTAAAAGAAAATTAGTCCAGGCAGAGGGGAGCCAGCTAGAGGCAGGGAAATGTGTTTTAACCTGATCGAGGCAACCAGTCCTCCTCGAACAGCTCCGTTTCACCTCAAAGGCACCCACACGCCCCTCCCTGGAGTCTGTCCCGAGACAGACAGGCGCTCACAGTAACTTCCTTAAGCGCTGCCAGCCGCACCTCCGCGACGGCCGGGCCCAGGCGGCCAATGAACACACGCCTGCGCCGGGCCTCGGGCCTCGATTGGCTGCGCCTCGCCGACTGCGGTCCCCGCAGGTTCCCAAGCCGGGTTTAAAGGGATCGGGCGCGGGCAGCTGCCCCGCCGTCCGCTGCCCGCGCACAGGTCCGCGGGGAGGGGCGCCCTGTCGACCGGCCCACCCCGGGGCGTTCCTGAAGGGCGCCCGAGGCTGCCCCCACCGCCTCCCAGATGTACTATGCAGTTTCCCAGGCTCGCGTGAACGCAGCCCCGGTGACCATGCTGCGGCCACAGCGGCCCGGAGAAGTGCAGCTCGGGGCCTCCCTGTACGAGCTAGTGGGCTACCGGCAGCCGCCTTCCTCCTCCTCCGCCTCCTCCTCCTCCACTTCCTCCTCCTGCTGCACCACGGCGCCCCTCCTCCTCCCCAAGGCTGCGCGCGAGAAGCTTGAGGCTCCCGCCGAGCCTCCCCGGTCCGGCGCGCACGCGAGCGCCCGGGCGGACGCCAAGGAGGAGCAGCAACAGCAACTGCGGCGCAAGATCAACAGCCGCGAGCGGAAGCGCATGCAGGACCTGAACCTGGCCATGGACGCGCTGCGCGAGGTCATCTTGCCCTACTCGGCCGCGCACTGCCAGGGCGCGCCGGGGCGCAAGCTCTCCAAGATCGCCACGCTGCTGCTTGCCCGCAACTACATCCTGCTGCTGGGCAGCTCGCTGCAGGAGCTGCGCCGCGCGCTCGGCGAGGGCGCAGGGCCCGCCGCGCCGCGCCTGCTGCTGGCCGGCCTGCCTTTGCTCGCCGCCGCGCCAGGTTCGGTGCTTCTGGCCCCCGGCGCCGTGGGGCCCCCCGACGCACTACGTCCGGCCAAGTACCTGTCGCTGGCCTTCGATGAGCCGCCCTGTGGCCAGTTCGCGCTCCCCGGCGGGGGCGCGGGCGGCCCCGGCCTCTGCACCTGCGCCGTTTGCAAGTTCCCGCACCTGGTCCCCGCCGGCCTGGGCCTGGCCGCCATGCAGGCTCAGTTCTCCAAGTGAGGGCAGCCTGGGCCCGGGGAGGGGCGCGACTCGGTCGGGCCTCCCGCCGCCCAGCTTCTCCGCGGCCCTGCGCCCTGGGTCCAGGGAGGGCGAGCCCGAGTGAGGAGGACGTTTGGCACCGTTTCTGGACCAGAGGAAGGGACTGGGCCTCGTTCCCTACCCCCAGCCCTGGGAAATGAAGGTGACCGCGCGGATGTTCCTCCTCGGAGCGTCGAAGCTGTTTGGGCTCTGGGTTGATTCCTCCGGCTTAGGACTGAAAGTGGACGCACCCCCGCTCTCACCCGGCGCGTCGCTGTCCCTGTCCCCGGAGCTGCGCGCTTCGCTGGGCTGGTACGGATCTTAGGAGGCGAGGCCACCCCTGAGCGCGACCTCCTGGGGGTGTCTGTCCCCTCCAGCCAAGCGGCCGCTCTCAACCTTGTTCCCACCGGCCAGGTTCCGGCAAAGGAGGCAGCCAGACCCCGGGGGACGGAGAAAGACCAGTTATTGGTGCGGATCGCGAGGGGCGCCGCAGGTGGGATGGTGACAGTCCCGGGGTCGCCGGTGCGCGGGATTGGAAATTCGGTCCGCTTTTGTAGCCAGGCGGTTCGAAATCTACTGTTAACCATCGATCCTGGAGTGTTCTTCGAAAGAGAAGTTACGACTCAGAATCACCTTTCGTCACCGCCGTCCCCAAAAGTAGCCTAACCGACGTTTGAGCTCATGTAAAAACAAAAAGCAACCACCTTTCACGCCATTGGAGTTCCGGAGTTACTAAAATAGGTAACAAGGCATTTCGCCGTCGCCTGTCTGGTGAAGCTTTCTAATTAACCTTCTCGTTCGAAGACGCGGAGGAGGAGCACCAGGAAGGAGCCCAAACCGCGCTGCTCTCGGGGCGCTTGCAGCTGCGACGGCGGAGTGCGCGTTGGGCTCAGGGTCCCCGCCTGCGCAGCCCGAGCCAGTCCCAGTCGCCGCTTTGCAACCGAAGTGTACCTAGAGACGGGTCTCGATTTGTTCGGGCGGCAACAGATGACCCGAGGTTATTTTCTGATCTTTCAGCAGTTTACTTTGATTTTTCTGTCGACAGTATTTGGTTGTCCGTAGTGGCCGAATTTAACTGGCGTTTTATTTTACCTCTAACTTTGTTCTCTCGAGCTGTACAGAATCAACAAAATAAAACTTTTAAAGCCTAATTTTTTACTTTTTTCGTCTGATTTGTTTGTTAATATAGAAATGTATATCCTTGTATCTTGGTGGATTCAGGGGTGAAAGTCCTTAAACGACTGGGATTTTGCATTTTAAAACCTGACTTCCTAAATTGCAAAATAACGCAGCAAGCAGGCAACTGAAGTAGCCCCGCGTCTTGGCGCCCACCTGTAATCCCGGACTCTGGGAGACCGAGGCAGGAGGATTACGAATTCTAGGAGCCAGGGATTTAGCTCAGTGGCACCGTGCCTGCCTCAAAAGCTCAAGGTCCTGAGTTCAATCCCCAGTGCAAAAAAAAAAAAAAAATTCTAGTCCAACCTGGGCAATTTAGTGATTTACTGAGACTCCATCTCAAAATTTTTAAAAGTGTTGAAAGGCTGAGGAGGTAAGCTCAGCACAAAGGTTCTGGGTTCAATTTCTAGTACAACAAATGATAAAAGGGGTCAAATGATGCATTTTTCATAGTATTATTATCTTTAATCTCAACAACTTTCTCAGAAACCCCAACCTTTTCTTAGTGGACAGAAGCTTCAACACTATCAGCAGGCTGAGTTTCCCCTTTCTCCACAATTTAAATAAGACTGGAGCTGTCTCCATGGAAATTATTGCTTTGGACTTCACTTAATTCTTGCAAGAGGCCAGGAAAGCTCTTCTATCCAGTTGGTGATGTTAAGAAGACTTGGGAATGCTGACTTGCTCATGTCTGGTATTTAAACCCTTCACAATTGTCAACCACTGTTTACATTCAGGGAAGCAGCTGAAGAACCCTATGTCCCCTTTAACCAGGGGGAAATGAAGGAAAACCCAGACGTGGCGACTTAATTTTGTGCATGTGGGTTTATGTGAGACAGACACACCCAGAAGCTGAGCCTTCCCTTTGAGCCACACACAGGGGTGGTGGCAAGAAAGATGGAATTGCCCCGCCCCCCCCCACGCTGCCATGGTGGGGGAGCAGAACCCTGGAATCAAGGGAAGGCTCTCCCACCCCTCTACCACCAGCATCAAACAAGTCAGTTTGCATCTGGCCTTCTATTGATTGAATGGCTGTTCTTCCCTGCCTTACATCTTGACAAGGAACAGAAGAGAAAGTAGAAATCTACAATTAATGAAAACCAAATCAGGTTCTCCATAAAAAGCATACATTTCTAGGAGATTAGAAATAGACAATTCCTCCAAGTCCTAACTTCAGCACCTTCAGTGTCACTGTCATTCCAAAAGCCATCTCTAAAAGCAGAAAGCTGTAAAACAGAAAAGCGCTGGGCATTAGTAGGTTAATCATCTGACTTCCTTCCTCTACTTGTTAATTGGAGTACTCACCTATGCCCTATAGGAAAAGGAGTACTGTATGTGATTATTTTAAAATTTCATGAAGGATATTCAGGACTGTTTTGATTGCTATCAAAATATGTACCTATGCATAACATCTTATTGGCCATTGTGCCAAGGAAAATTACTAGACTTGCTCCTTGTATGGAGTTTTTATCCTAAAAGCTGCATCAGTAGGCACTCAGGAGCCCTGAAAAACAAAAGATAGAGGTGATTATATGTGTGTCAACAATGCAAAGTTAAATTTCTCAACATGTCTAGGCAGTGCTCTGCCTGCACAAGGTTTCAGCTGAGAGGCATATGTTGTAGGCCCAGAGTGAGTATCTTTTTGAAATCTGCAGTGTTCAGTCATCCCAGTAAAGGAGCTAGCTAAATGGCCCACCTCACTTGATTTTAGCCAGAGCAGGCTTTGTGCACAAGGACCAGTTTAATCTGGTCTTTGAAGAGTGTGAGAAAGAAGGGAGGATCTTAGGGAGGAGGCTCCTTGCAAAAGGTAAACTAGGCCTTAAAAGCTCGATCAAAAGAAGATGTGACTCTCTGCCAAAAATGTCCGTGTATCTAGGCAACCACCAATGTACAGTCCCAGAAATTACAGTGCACAGAACCTAAAGGGGAAAACTCACCAGCCCTGAGACGTTATGTTGGTTGGTGTAAGTATCAGAGGTCAGGTGAGCAGTCAGAAAGCAGAGAGCAAGTTAAATGCACTGTGGGATTTACCCGGCTCACAGTGACGGTCTATTTACAGGCATCCTCCTCTCAGGGAAACGGATTATACCAGGTATGGAAATATAACTTACCAGGCAAGTGGTTCCATCAAGCATGGAGAATATTTCACTTTGCTGAAGTTCAGACTACGAGCAACAGTGCTTTCACGTTGCACACCTAGTTCAGGGTGTTCAGTCTTTGCTGACTGCCCGGATACGCAGGCGAGGCTGGGCACAAGGCGGCTGCCACTCACCTGACCCTGAGCCTGAGTAGACTGTTCCCAGCCTTTGTCACTGAGTAAGGAAGCCAGCCAGAAGGGCTTTCATTTCTGCCATACAGGACATTTTAACAACAAGGTGCCGACACAAGATAGCAGCTCCAAAGAGTGGGTAAATGGATGCTGCGGCCTCCTGTGGCCCACGGTGCATGGGTCAGGAGAGTGTATTTCTTTCTAAAGGAATTTCTTGTTTGTTTATTGCCTCTTCTCCCCTCTGCACACTCATAGTCAACAAGATTATTACCTTCACAGAGCTAGGCTCACAAGGCAGCAGGTTGGAAAATCATGATTTTCTAAAATATTTACTTTTTGGAGCAGAATTTGGTGGTAGAGAAACTATTCAAAATATTGTTTTCAAATGAGAATCACTTTATTCTGCCAGGTATAAGATGTGAATATAGAGGAGCAAGATATTCCTTAATAGCTACACACAAATTAGTTTCTCTCTCTCTCTCTCTCTCTCTCTCTCTGTCTCTCTCCCTCCCTCCCTCCCTCCTTCTCTCTTCCTCTCTCTTTCTCTCCATCTGGCTATTGCTCTCCCTCTCTCTCATTCTCTTTACGGAAATGCTGCAAATCAATTTTTTTAGCAGTGGGGATTCAACTCAGGGCATTTACCCTGAGCTACATCTCAACTCCTTATGTGTTGTTTTGATTTGGTTGTTTTTTGAGGCAGGTTCTAGGTCACTATGTTTCCCAGGCCAAGTTTGAAATTTTGACCCTCGTGACTCAGCCTCCCAGAGTGCTGGGATTACAGTCATATGCCACCACACTCAGCTGCAAATTAATTTTTCAAGCAATCCCAGCTCTGTCATTTTTAACTGAGCCCAGAATAAGAGCTGAGCTGACTGGACAGAAACCAAGCCACATTCTTTCTGCTCACGTGGGACTCAGGGCTCCCTCAGAATTTTCCCCTTTCCTTTCTGCCGGTGTTCGCAAGTCCAGCTCTGAGCTATCCCTAGTTCTTCAACACTACCAGCACTAAGGGGATCCAGCTCCTGCTGGGTGGTCATCTACTTTGTTTGTTTGTTCATTTTGAAACAGGGTCTCACTCTGTAGTTCAGGCTGAACTTGAATCACTCTGCAGCCCAGAATGGCCTTAAACTTGAGGCAATCCTCCTGTCTCAGCCTCCTGAGTGATGGGATTACAAGTGTACACCACCATGCCCAGCTAACCTCTGTTTATTTTAGCCTCTGTGCACAGCCCTCAGTCTGACCATGGGGGTGGTGTCCAAGACACAGACTTAAAGGCAATCAACCCCTTGCCAGCCGACCTGGCTGAGGATGAGTCACCTGAACTGTCTATGGCAGCCTCACCCTGGATCCCTGAGGGAGGCCCAGATTAGTGACAGGGAGTGGCAGAGGCAGAGGCAAACCCCACAAGAAATCCTCTGATGGTGATGTGTTTGTCATTAGGGTTTCAGAAAGCAAGGAATCAGACAGCTCATAGACAGTGCAGGGAAGGAAGGAAAGTTGTGGCCTAGGGGCTTTCTCTGTCCCGGATGCCTCTAGTGTTTTCACAAAGACAGCAAATGTGCTGATGCTGATGGACTCCATTTTCTCAATGTGCTAAGCATCTTTTCACCAAGTGCTTTTCCAAGAGGCTCCTCCACACCGGGAAGTTCTGGCTGTGGCCAAACCCCTAGGATAGAGGACAGATGAGCCTGACCCTGCACCTGGACCCTGCACCTGGACCCTACACCTGGACCTTCACCAGGTGCTCAGGTAAGAGGTAGGCAATGGGCTCAGGAAAAACTCTCCCCATTGGTTCCAGCTCTGAGATCCAAGAAGGGCTATTGTGTCTCAGAAGCTTCTAGGTAACGTGAGTAACTCCTTAGAGAATGCCAAAGTCATATAACCAAGAGGCTTAGTAACAAGATCAGATACAAAGACACCTCTGTGAGTTTAAAAGAAAAAAAAGGAGAAATGTCAGTTCACCTGAGGGCAGGCAGGCAGGTGAGCAGCAGGAGCAACTCACAGGAGAAGCGGTTGAGTAGTACTAGCAGTAACAAAACCAGTGGCATCAAGATGAGCTAATATTGTGTTTGTCAAGCCCCAAGACTATTGTGGGTGTTTATTTACTTCAATGGTGGCCACCTGTGCTGTGTTACAGAACCATGAAGAAGTAGAAATGGAGGAAGCTGAGACCAATTAAGGGACATCTAGAAGCTACTGGGGTGGAAGCAGCAGAGTCCCCCAGGGCTGCCCCACTCCTGTGAGGCGGAATCGTGTCCTTTCCCTTCCTCATCCTCACCCTTGGACGAGCTTGTAGCACCCCAGCGCACAGCCCCCAGATTCCCTGCTCATTCCTCCTTCCGGAAACCATGTGGTAGTTGTTTGGGGTTGTTTCACTGGTAGTGTTTGTTCCCCGGTTGTTTCACTTTTTATTTCCAAAACGTCCTGGTCTGGTGGGGCTTGACGTCGGGGCGTGAGATGGTGAGACATTAGCAGAGCAGTTGGGGCTAAAGATGGCCATCGCGCATAGATGTTCTGGATACAACGCTGACTGCTAAGCGTTCTGGTCCCAAATCAAAAAGTTCTCAAATCATCAAAACATGAGTTGAGCAGATAAAGAATCAGCAAAGAAGACATTTGATGTGGTAACAGTTTATCTGCCCGGATCACCAATCCAAGGGAGCCTGGTGTTGTTTTGTCTCGTTCCTTGGCTTCTGGCGGTTTTAGTTGCTGC